ATATATATATATATATATATATATATATATATATATATATATATATATATATATATATATATATATATATATATATATATATATATATATACAACGGGAAAATAACAAATATATATATATATATACAACGGGAAAATAACAAGATCAAACACTTTAAATGGGAGGGGAACATGCTTCGGGGATAGCAGATAATACAGAATTTCAAGAAAATAATAAAGAACATCAATAATTTAACTCTAACACGGATAAGGGAAATAAAAGCAGATTTCACTATCAGCACATATCTCGTTGCAGGCGTGCAACCCGGTCCCATTTCTCAATAATTAAACCTCGTGGTAGGCGTACCACCCGCTCTCATTTCATTAAATCTCGTGGTAGGCATACCACCCGCTCCCATTTCATTAAGTCAACAGTTCTTCCAAATGAATACTCCAACAAACGCAATAATTAATATCAATTCATAAGACAACAAATACACAATAATTATGACTCACTGAGGAAAACAAGTAATGACAAGTAGCAATTAATTATGGACTTTAAGGAGCAAATAGGCAATTTAATATTTAGTATGCTAAATATCAAGTAGCAATTAAGTCACATAAACATGTAGCAATTATAGCATAAATTCAAGGCATAATGTTGCGCAAGGATACCTCGAACCAATAATAACAAGTAACACGATAAAGGAAAATGCCAACTCAAAGAATCACAGTGATAGTGGGATAAGACAATTAATGCACTTGAACCGATAACAACAGAAAATCAGTAAATAGCAGTAAAAGGGCAACATAACTCAATTATCAGCAAAAAAACATGAAAATCAAAGACAAGTGCACAGCATCACCCTTCGTGCTTTTACTCTCGTCCTCACCAAGCAATAATATAATGAAAACGTGCACGGCATCACCTTTCGTGCTTTTACTCTCTTTCCTCACCAAAGCAATTAGAATAATAAAATGTGCACGACATCACCCTTCGTTCTTTTACTCTCTTTCCTCACATATAATCAATAGAATTGGCACGAAATGGTACATCGTGCGGCACGGCATCACCCTTCGTGCTTTACACTCTTTCCTCACAATAGCAAACAATGCACGGCATCACCCTTCATGATTTAACACTCTTCCTCACCCAAACAACAATCACAAACAAGGGCAAGGGAAATAAACAAGAACATTTAGGAATCTCGGCAAGGGAACAACGATTTAACAATTAAATCCCGGCAAGGGAGCAACAAGTAAATAATTAAATCCCGGGAAGGGAACATTTCAATAACTCTTTCTCTATCTTTCACATGAACTTTGTAACTCACTTTACCACTTGGGCCAATGCTCCAAAGGGTTCAATCATCTCACATACTTTCACAATTCATAATATAACTCGAGCCAATGCTCCATAATGTTCAAAGGTCTCAATTCCTTCCACAAACTTTTCACAACAACAAGAAATCATCACCAAAGCATGAAGAATACAACGAGAGCATGAAAATCACAATATAAGACTCACGGTCATACTTGACACCAACGTATAGATACTCGTCACCATGCCTATACGTCGTACTCAACAATTATCACATAGCAAATAGGACTCAACTCCTAATCCCTCAAGCTAAGGTTAGACCAAACACTTACCTCAAACCTCCACGGCCAATTCAATCCTCAATAACCGCCTTCCCTCTCGAATTCGGCTCCAAATCAATTATAGCTATACAATAATGACTTCAATACATCAATAAATGCTAAACAATACGAACCCAATGCCTAATTATAGCTTTTCCATCATTTTTCCCAAAAACTCAAAAGTCGACCCCGGGCCCTCTTGGTCAAAACACGAGTTCGGACCAAAATAAAATCCCCCATTTACCCACGAGCCAGAATATATAATTTGTTTTCAAATTCGACCCCAAAGCGAGGTCTAAATCACCATTAATCAAAAAGCCCTAGTTCTACCCAAATCCCTAATTTTCTACCTTAAATTCCATACTTTAGGCCTAGAAATCTAGTGGGTGTTGATGAAAGTGGAAGAAAACAAGTTAAAGATTACTTACCCAAGAAGTTTTGGTGAAGAAATGCTTCAAAAATCGCCTAAGAGCTTTGGAGAAGAAGAAGTTGTGAAAAATAATGAGAATCCCGTAATGCATTCTGTTTTTAGAACTTAAAATAACTGGGCGAATTTTTACTCTATGCGATCGCGGAAGAATCAATGTGATCGCATAGAACAAATTGATGACTACCAAAATTAACTCTATGCGATTGCATAGAACAAATTGTGACCTCCCAAAATTTACTCTAACCGATCGCGGAAGAATCAATGCGATCGCATAGAACAAATTGATGACTATAAAAATTAACTCTATGCGATCGCGGAAGAATCAATGCGATCGCATAGAACAAATTGTGACCTCCCAAAATTTACTCTATGCGATCGCGGAAGAATCAATGTGATCGCATAGAACAAATTGATTACTACAAAAATTAACTCTATGCGATCGCGGAAGAATCAATGCGATCGCATAGAACAAATTGATGACTACCAAAATTAACTCGCGATCGCGGACATTCCTATGCGATCGCATAGAACAAAAACCTGGATACCAACAACCAGCAAAAACACCAGATTTTCTAAGTCCAAAAACACTCTGACGCCTATCCGAAACTCACCCGAGCCCTCGGGGCTCCAAACCAAACATACATACTAACTCAAAAACATCATACATACTTGTTCGTGCGATCAAATCGCCAAAATAACATCATGAACATCGAATTAAACCTCAAAATCAAAGAATTTTCTCAAACTTTTTAAAACATCAATTTTTGCAATTCAAGTCCGAATCACGTCAAATAACATCCGTTTTTCACCAAATTTCATAGAAACATCTTAGATCATATATAAGACCTGTACCGGGCGCCGGAACCAAAATACAGGCCCGATACTAACATGTTCTAATCAAATTTTATTTCCAATTTTCTTAAACATTTCCAGAAAACAATTTTTCTAAAAATTCATTTCTCGGGCTCGGGACCTCGGAATTCGATTTCGGGCATAAGACCAGGTCCCATATTTTGCTACGGACCCTCCGGGACCATCAAATCACAGGTCCGGGACCGTTTGCCCAAAATGTTGACCAAAGTCAAATTTATTCATTTTAACATCAATACTTAGCATTTTTCACAGAATTTCATATTTAAGCTTTCCGGCTACCACAACAAGAAATTTGATTTTTAACGACCATTTCTTATCGAAGGGACATAAAACTGGTCGTTATAAGAATATTTTTAACAACCAAATTTTTATCCGGTCGTTAAAACTAATTTTTAGCTCAATATCAACGAGGGGATAATATTCGGCCGTTAAAATATAACACAGCCGGTTGTTAAATAATTATTAATTAATAAAAAATGTGGCGCTAAATTTTCCCACTTTTTTCCCAAACCCAAATTCCGCCAAATCTCCCACCCCACCCCCACCCCACCCTAAAAAAAAGGAAAAAGCCCTAATTCCATTAGACAGTTCGTATAAACCTAAACCTCTATTTTGAAAGCAACGAAGCTGCTGGTCACATTGACAAACATCTTTGAGGTTCTTCTCATCACGGTAAGGTTCAAATTTTACCCTTTTCTATGTGAATTGAGTAATAATTTCGCAGAAAAGGCATCTGTTGAGCTTCTTGAATGGAATTTTTTTAGTGAAACAGTCAGAACAATCAAATGCTCACCTAGTGTTATGGTTTAATAGTGGTTACTTTCTCGGCCTTACTACTTGCTGTACTTTGCTTCTCTATTTGAATGTTGTAATTTATGTTCCAATTTCTTTGATTCTCTTGCCAGATCTGATTTCTGCATCCTTTCGACTGAGATGAACATGTCCCTACTCTTCGTTCATGCTCTCAAAATTTTTCCAAGAGTTTGTTGCCTAATTAGGATTGTTTACATTCTTCTGGAATGATCTTACCCATTCAGACATGGTTTCCAATTCAATTGTCCAAAGCAATCTCTTGCTCTCATTGCTTATTCTGAGTTCACATTCTTAATCTCTGTTCAAACTCAATAGTTATTAAGTGAGATAATAACCCAAATGAAGAATCATATTAAGGTGAGAGTTATTGGTGTTGCAGGTGAAGTAGCTCAGAGGGAAAGGATGTTCTGTGTACAGGAAATTGTGGTTTTTGAATATCTTATGTTAATAATGAAATTCTGAAATACCTATAACAATAACAATATTGTCTCAAAATTCAAAATATATAATGTTCTGAAAATGTGAAGTAAAATAAAGTGTTGACCCATCCAGTATTAGTGAGAACAGAACAGTAAGGGAAGCTCTTAAACTCTATCCAACTTGACCTATGTGACTATCACCATGAAGCTCTTGAAGAGTTTTTGTGGAAGAGCCTTTTTCTATCAATGAATTAGATGCTTTATCACATTAGTTTGAGATGAGGCGAGTTTTCAGTTCCTAAGGGTAGAGCAGCAAGTAAACTGTTGCAATTTGCAATTTGCTGCTGCCCGGATGGTACAAAAGTGTGTGCATTTGGGCTTAAACCTTTCTTGCATTAACTCCTTCATGTTCCTGCCCCTCATCTTGTGTAACAGTAGCTAAAAAACCTACTGTACTACATCAACAAGTGCAGCAGTAGATTTAGGAGCCCCAACAGTAGGTCGATCACCAGTTGCATTCAATGCAACATTAGCCTCCAACTTCGAACCTATAGTAAGTTGAGCATGCCTCATCGTACGGGTAGTAAACCAATTAGGGAGATCATTTATGAATTGGTGAGTAAATCTTATAATTCTATTAAGAAACCTCATCTTTGTTACAAAGATTTCTTTGACTTGTTTATTGTAATGTGAAGGGAGGTAAAGATGGTAATCCACCAGATGTGGCAACTATTTTTTTTGAGACTCGTAAGAAGAACAACAAGCTTGTCGAACCTGAAACCAGTGAGAAATATGTATGTTTATTGATAAATTTCAATTTATATTATTTATTTATTTATTGTATTGTATTATTTTAATTATATAATTTTTTATTTTACAGGATAAAATCAAGGAATTGGTACAATCTGAATCGTCTCTTACAAACATTGAGGTTGTAGAAAGGTGCTTCGGACCTCAACGAAAGAGTCATGTAGTTGGATTTGGTGGTGGGATAACATCTAAGGAGTTGAAAGGTGGTAACTCCTCTAAAGCTGCATTGTTGGAAAAGCTGAATGCTACTGTAAAAGAAAATGAATCACTAAAAGGACGTTTGGAAGGGCTAGCGAGTAATATGATGACCTAGGGAGTAAATACGCACAACTTGCAAAGATAGTGTTTGATCAGCCTTCATCACCATCTTCAAGTGATCAATAGATTGAATCATATAACGGGTTAGTACATTGAAAATCCTATTTTACTCTAACATGCCGTGCGAGTTGTCGTTTTCCATCTCATCTTATTCATCCTCTTCTACTTGATAGGCCCAAATCTTATGATTGCGCAAGAATTCATTTGTAACAGTTAATTGCTCCTTAGAAATCGGCACCTTATTTGTAGAATTTGCTTGAGATATTGAGGCCATACCCAAACCAAGGAAAAGTTAAAAACCTTTATTTTGGAATTACTTAATGGCAAAGTAAGGAAACACAGTATTTTTAGGAAATAAACCTCTGCTGGCCATGCATCAGATTCTTTCAAGCTGACATTTGTTTCAAGTTGTTTGAACTTGGGGTAAATGCAAGCGCTAGATGCATAGAAGAACCTGAACAACACGATGGCCGGACATCAATTTTCTGAGAGTATTTCGAGACGGTCTATTATGATCTTTTGGCCTACTGAAACTTTATATTAGAGTAAATTATTACCAAAGGTTTTCAACTGTTGGTACAGTTGCTATGTTGTAGCTCTTTGGCGATTGTGCTTGCATATATACTCAATATAATTAAGAAAGCCAATAATACAACAGGCGTGGTTTCATACCCATCATCTCCTTTTCATTCAAGAGTATCGTCTATCTTGATATTGTTCACTTCTGTATATTGGTCCGAGTCGTGTTGTTTCAAGTTTGGGGTTTCATTATATTGTCTGCTTATTGATTGCTATTCCTGCTGAAAATGGTGTTCTTAATGATATGTATCTGTTAACAAGTAGTTGTTAGTACTATCTGGCCCCTGCTTGTCTTTGTCTTCACCCTAGTTAAATGATAGTGCCTTAAGGAATAAGGATGGCCTTGTATTTCGTGAGGCTATTTAAATGCAAATACTATTCTGGCAATACAATTAGAGTTATCTTCTTTGGAGAAATACTTTCTTTTTTAGTAATTGTGGTGTCCGGGCCAGTTTGTCGCCGCCTCGACTAATTCCACGGAGTACTTGTTACCTCCCACCATCACAAGTATTGGATAACTTTGTCCACCAAGGCCTGGACAGATGGGAAAAAATCACCTAGTTTTTTTTTGCCTCATGGGGATTTGGATCTGAGACCTCATTGTTCTCAACCCACTTTATTAGCCCCTAGGCCACACCTCTGGTAAGTTGGATTTGATAATCCGTTGGTAATGTTGTATTGATAAGTGTCCACAATGACATGTGGCTAATGTCCTGGAAATATACCGCATACTTTTTGGTCGAACTTTGGGTTATTTCTCTTGGTTATTGATCAGAAGCTTATAATTTTACTAGTGACCAGGTTAGACAAATTACTAGTGACCAGGTTATCGATCAGAAGCTTATATTTTTACTAGTTGAGGTCAGTTATATGAATCCTCCATATCGATACCCATTTCATTTCAATATTCAATAATTTTCTAATTAGACAAATTAAGGGTTCTCTTATACTAGAGGTTCTGTATATTTTCTACGGTTATTTAAATCTCTAGAAACACTTAGGAGACTCCTTATAAACACCAGGCGTAATGTATCTTCTAAAATTTTGCTATACAAGCATGGAGAGCAAGGGCCTTCATGCTGTCAATGATTTCTGATGGACCAGGGGTTTTTGTGCAGAGGTTGTTATCCTTTTTCTTTTTGAAATGCAAGTTGTTTGGTCTTGTCATCACGGCCTTATCGGTCATGGGATTCTTTCTTATTTGTGTAGTTACTTATCAAGAATAGATTCTTATTTGTTCTTCAATCGAGCCTTTTGCTAATATTGTCATATTTGCTTGTTCTGACGAATAGAAGTAATTAATTCATATTAACTGGCTGTTGATACATTTTCCCTTTAACATGCTCATTTTCTTCTTTAGTTGTTTATTCTTTGTTATTAAATTGGCGTGAATTTGTTATTTTAACAGATCAAAAACATGAAGCTCGAAGAATCTATCCTTGAAGAAAGTGTAGAGCAAGTTGAAGTACAAGAGGTTTTTGGTTCGTCGGCGATGGTTTAAAGACACCGTCTTCTGTATATATATATATGCTGCGATTTTACTTTTTTTTTTAGGAATTATTAAAAATGATGATTAACTCATCTCACTTTATGCTTCCAGTTGTCTCTTGGATGGGTTTGCGTTATTTCTACTTTTCATTGTTTCAGTAAGATGGGTTTCTTACAATTTGGATTGGTTTCTGGTAAATATGATACTTTAGTTCTTTGTATTAATAAGATATCAAGTATTTGGTTTATTTTCCAATGTTGTTGAGCGCGTGTATGAAAGAATATAAATAATTATTACTATTCACATAATTTAAATTTTCATATTAGCGAAGAAAAAAGTGGTCATTAAAACTTTTTAGCGACAGGTTTTTCAAATAGATAAATGACTATCAACGAAGAGAGTTTTTAAAAGTAATTATACAATTAACGAATGGAATATCGGTCGCTAAAAGCACTTGAATTCACTTAATACATTGTTGTCATTAAAGACATTTAACGACCGGATAACAAATTAGCGAGGGGAAAATCCTGTTGTTAAAAAGTATGTTTAACGACCGAAAATTATGTCGTCGCTAAAGATCCTTTAACGACCGGATTGTAAGCCGGTCGTTAACTTTTAACGTCGGGACTTTAAACGACCGGTGACGATCAGATTTTTTCCGGTCGTTATCAACTTATAACGACCGGAATTGGGCTTTTAAAGACCATATTTCCCCTCGCTAAAGCCCTATTTTCTTGTAGTGTACACGCCCTGACTGCGCACGCAAATCGAGACAACTCTAAATGAGGTTTTCAAGGACTCGGGGACACAGAATTCAATTAAAAACAGGTGATGACCCTTTGGGTCGTCACATTCTCCACCTCTAAAACAACCGTTAGTCCTCAAACGGACAGAAGAAGAAAGTACCTGAGTCGAGGAAAAGATGAGGATAACGGCTCCACATATCGGACTCGGACTCCCAGGTCGATGCCTCAGGAGGCTGACCTCTCCATTGAACACAATCAGAAGGAAAACTCTTCGACCTCAACTGACGAACCTGCCGGTCTAGAATAGCCACCGGCTCTTCCTCGTAAGACAAGTCCTTGTCCAACTTGACAGTGCTGAAATCTAACACATGGGATGGATCGCCGTGATATTTCCGAAGCATGGACACATGAAATACTGGATGCACGACTGATAAGCTCGGCGGCAATGCATGTCTATAAGCCACCTCTCCCACTCGATCAAGAATCTCAAACGGACCAATGAACCTAGGGCTAAGCTTGGCCTTCTTCCCAAATCTCATCACGCCCTTCATAGGCGACACCCGGAGCAACACCCGCTCACCGACCATAAAAGCCACATCTCGAACCTTGCGGTCTGCATAACTCTTCTGCCTGGACTGAGTTGTACGAAGCCTATCCTGAATGATCCTGACCTTGTCCAATGCCTCCTGAACCAGATCCGTAGCCAACAACCGAGCCTCTCCCGGATCAAACCATCCGACCGGAGACCGACACCGCCTACCATATAAAGCCTCATAAGGAGCCATCTGGATACTCGATTGGTAGCTGTTGTTGTAGGCAAACTCTGCTAAAGGCAAGAACTGATCCCACGAGCCTCCAAAGTCAATGACACAAGCTCGGAGCATATCCTCCAAAATCTGAATAGTCCGCTCAGACTGCCCGTCCGTCTGAGGATGAAACGTTGTGCTCAACCACCCGTGTGCCCAACTCTCGCTGAACTGCAATCCAGAAATGTGAGGTAAACTGCGTACCTCGATCCGAAATGATAGACACAGGCACACCATGAAGACGAACAATCTCCCGAATATAGATCTCAACTAACCTCTCGGATGAATAGGAGACTGCCACAGGAATGAAATGCGCTGACTTGGTCAGCCTATCAACAATGACCCATACTGCATCGAACTTCTTTCGGGTTTGCGGGAGTCCAACAACGAAATCCATAGTGACCCGCTCCCACTTCCACTCGGGAAGCTCAATCCTCTGAAATAAACCACCAGGCCTCTGATGCTCGTACTTAACCTGCTGACAATTCAAACACCGAGCCACATATGCAACAATATCCTTCTTCATTCTCCGCCACCAATAATGCTGCCGCAAATCCTGATACATCAACTCTCGTAGTCCATCCACATTAGGCTCACAAACTCGACCCTGCAATCTCAAAACTCCATCATCACCCAAGGTAATCTGCTTGGCACCTCCGTGCTGCACCGTGTCTCCAAGGACACACGAATGGGGATCATCATACTGCCGATATCGGATACGCTCCAATAATGAAGAACGAGCGACCGTGCAAGCTAACACACGACTGGGCTCAAAAATATCCAGTCTCACGAACTGATTGGCTAAAGCATGAACATCCAAAGCAAGCGGTCTCTCACCGACCGGAATATAAGCAAGACTGCCCATACTGGCTGACTTTCTACTCAAAGCATCGGCCACTACATTGGCCCTTCCCGGATGATATAGAATGGTGATATCATAATCTTTCAACAACTCCAACCGCCTTCTCTGCCTCAGATTCAACTCCTTTTGCTTGAACAAATACTGAAGACTCTTGTGATCCGTGAACACCTCGCATGCCACGCCATACAGATAATGCCTCCAAATCTTCAATGCGTGGACTATGGCTGCCAACTCCAAATCATGAACCGGAAAGTTCTTCTCTTGAATCTTCAACTGCCGCGAAGCATAGGCAATGACCTTGCCATCCTGCATCAACACTGCACCAAGCCCAATACGAGAAGCATCACAATAAACTGTATAAAGCCCTGAACCTGTGGGCAAAACCAACACCGGTGCCGTAGTCAGAGCTATCTTGAGTTTCCGAAAGCTCGCCTCACACTCATCCGACCATCTGAACTGGGCACCCTTCTGGGTCAACCTGGTCATCGGGGTTGCGGGAATATATCAATATATCATCAATGAAGACTATCACGAACAAATCCAATTAAGGCCTAAACACTCGGTTCATCAAATCCATAAAAGCTGCTGGGGAATTTGTCAACCCGAATGACATAACCAAGAACTCATAATGCCCGTATCGAGTGCGGAAAGCTGTCTTAGGGACATCGGATGCCCTAATCCTCAACTGATTGTAGCCAGATCTCAAGTCAATCTTTGAAAATACCTTGGCACCCTGAAGCTGATGAAACAAATCATCAATCCTCGGCAATGGATACTTGTTCTTGATTGTAACCTTGTTCAACTGCCGGTAATCAATACACATTCGCATCGATCCATCCTTCTTCTTAACAAACAACACCGGCGCACCCCAAGGCAAAACACTGGGTCTAATGAAACCCTTCTCAAGCAAGTCTTGCAACTGCTCCTTCAACTCTTTCAATTCAGGCGGGGCCACAAGACACGACGGGATAGAAATGGGCTGAGTGCCCGAAAGCCAAATCAATGCAAAAGTCAATATCCCTGTCGGGTGGCGTACCCGACAGGTATGAAGGGAAAACCTCAGGAAACTCACGAACAACATGCACAGAATTTATGGAAGGAACCTCAGCACTAGAATCATGAACATATGCCAAATAGGCCAAACACCCCTTCTCGACCATACGCCGAGCCTTCACATAAGAGATAACACTACGGGTAGAATGACCAGGAGTCCTTCTCCACTCTAAACGAGGCAAACCTGGTAAAGCTAAGGTCACAGTCTTGGCGTGACAGTCGAAGATAGCGTGGTAAGGTGATAACCCGTCCATTAGCAATATAACACCGAAATCATCCATGTCCAGAAGAAGCAAATCTACACGAGTCTCAAGACCTCCAATAACCACTATACATGAACAATGGACGCGATCCACCATAATAATATCACCCACCGGCGTAGACACATAAACAGGGGCACTCAAAGAATCACTAGGCATGACCAGATACGACGCAAAATAAAACCGAAGCTTCTCTAACACAAACCAGAACAATACCTGCACCTCCACCTCTAATACCTTTACCTCCACCTCTAGCATCTCTACCTGAGTGATGTGGAGAAACTTCTCCAGAAATAGCTGCGTAAACTGTTCTCAAGTCAAAGATGATGACCTAACTGGTATAGCCAATCAATAATCTCTCCAACAGGTCTTGGCGGATCCAGACAAGCGAAAAGTAGCAAAATCGACCCCATTGGTCTCCACGATCCCCATGTCCCTGTGAACCTCATGACAACTGTCTAGATAATGTCGGGGATCCTCAGAAGATGCACCGCTGAAAGTAGTAGTGAAGAGCTTGGTGAAACCTATCCAACCTCCACAAAGCCTCCGAAGACATAGCTGATCTATCACTGGTCTGTGCTGCTGCTCGACTGAAGAAGCGGTACATGACCTCGCCCTTCGTGAAAGGACAAGATTAGAGGTTTCAATTCAGTATTGAGAGAACAAAATCGCACGACAAGGAAGAATAGAAGTGAAACTTTTCCTAACTCTGTAGCCTCTGGGGATAAATACAGACGTCTCCGTACCGATCCCTCAGACTCTACCAAGCTTGTCTGTGAACTGTGAGACCCATGTAACCTAGAGCTTTGATACAAATTTGTCACGACCTGGATTCCCACCCTCGGGAGTCGTGATGGCGCCTACTAGTACGAGCTAGGCAAGCCAATTAATTTCACAATTTACCCTTTTTACTCATTTTATATCCATTAGCAATTTTAAAAATAATAATAACATTTAAACAACGGAATTTAACATAAGCGGAAGAAAGCAACAAACTATATGGACATAAATACCTAGTACAACGGTTTGAGTCTCGACTACCCTGAACTGGTGTCACAGTTTCACAAACGGTCTAAGAATACTACAATTAAAGGTCTAAAAGAAATAAATACAACACTGTCTCTAGAAATGCATGAAAGAAATAGGAATAATAGATAGAAGGAGACGCCAAGGCCTGCGGACGCCTGCAGGACTACCTCGGGTCGCCTGATGATCAAGAATCAGCAATCTCACTGCGGTCCAAAGTCCACAACACTAGGGTCTGCACAAAAGAGTGCAGAGTGTAGTATCAGCACAACCGACTCCATGTGCTGGTAAGTGCCTAGCCTAACCTCGGCGAAGTAGTGACAAGGCTAGGACCAGACCACCAAATTAACCTGTGCAATTATATAATATACAACGGAATGTAAAGCAGAAATAAACAAGTAAGGATGGGAGGGGGAAACATGCTTCAGGGAATGACAGGTAGAAACAGAATATCAAGAGAACTATAAAGGAATCAAAATCAAACCACTAACAAGAATGAGGA